AAAGTCAAAGGAGACAAGTCTTTACCTCACCATAACTGAGGCAGGAGCCTGTACAGAAGAGCCGTCACCCACAATGTAAACATTTGAATAAAACACACGAAACAGAATCTCCCAAAAGTATAGACAAAAAAGGCAAAAGTAGTCCCAATAGTCCCCCTAAAAAGGGGACAGACAGGAGAGACAATTACTGACAAGTGTCACTGACATTCTGCATTAAATGTAGGAAAAAGCAATAAGGTTATGCATGACTGAGTACCCTGTAGACACCCAATGTTGTAATGACCGGACAGGATGGGTTTGTACACGGAAGGTCGCGCCTTGCACACCCTGATTAAGTTCTGTGACGAGGTTATCAAGACGGGAAAAAGAAGGCTGTATCGACTGTATTTTTCTTGATTGTCAAAATACATCCAACACAGTTCCTCGTGAAAGGCTCCTGTACCAGATGGTGAAACACTCCGGGATAACTAGGACAACTCTGAACTAAGGATAGACCTGAAGTACCTGAAGGATAGACCTGAAGTAATTGAAGGATAGACCTGAAGTACCTGAAGGATAGACCTGAAGTACTTGAAGGATAGACCTGAAGTACCTGAAGGATAGACCTGAAGTACCTGAAGGATAGACCTGAAGTACCTGAAGGATAGACCTGAAGTACTTGAAGGATAGACCTGAAGTACCTGAAGGATAGACCTGAAGTACCTGAAGGATAGACCTGAAGTACTTGAAGGACAGACCTGAAGTACCTGAAGGATAGACCTGAAGTACTTGAAGGACAGACCTGAAGTACTTGAAGGATAGACCTGAAGTACTTGAAGGATAGACCTGAAGTACCTGAAGGATAGACCTGAAGTACCTGAAGGATAGACCTGTAGTACCTGAAGGATAGACCTGAAGTACCTGAAGGATAGACCTGAAGTACTTGAAGGACAGACCTGAAGTACCTGAAGGATAGACCTGAAGTACCTGAAGGATAGACAAGAGTTACAGGCGTTAAGAAGTCTTCCAGCTGGATGAGTGTAATACAAGTGGGGTCCCACACAAGGCTCGGTCCTGTCACCGCTGCTGTTCCTTGTTCACGTGAGTGACCTGCCCGCGGGAGTGACCTCGCACGTCTCAATTGTTTTGTTGCTTAAGATTCGCTACCTGGAACAAAAAGTTCCAAGCAGCACGGGCTATGGTGAGCCCATAGTTCGTCACGTGTCAATGTTTGTAGATGATGCCAAGCGAGATGAGGAGTGTAAGAACAGAGGACTGCGGCAAGTTCAACAACTCCACGAGTGTGTCAACAAATATTACTGGAATTCAATCCCAGCAAGTGTAAGGTAATGGAGACAGGAAAGGGAGAAAGGAGCCCAGGAGACACCTACACCCTAATAACAAGGCAACTACAGGAATGAAAGAGTTGGGAGCGGATATAATGCCAACATTAACACCAGAGGTACACACAAACTGGGTAACACCATCAGCATAACAGACGCTGGCGAACATTTGACCATCGTTCTGGAGCCAAAATCAGGACCCCTTCAAGACAATCTACACACCATTTGTTAGAACAATACTTGAACATGTTGGTATAATTTCTGGAATATTAGACATGGAATTCGGACCTTATGAAGCATAAAAATAAAATTGAAAAAGTGCAGAGGCTTGCAACAACTGGTGCCAGGGGTAAGCAATGAGGCTGGCCTAATGGAACTCTTAAGAGGATAAGAGAACCAGATGGGATATGTTCACAACATAAAAGATACTGAAGGTAATAGAAAAGGAAGACAAGGACAATCTCGTTAAATTGAGAGAAAGTATTATATTACACAAGTGAAAACTGGAAACGCAGCCAGTCGAAGGGATGTAAGGAAATGTTCATACCGCGTGCGGCTGGTCAACAAGTGGACACACTGCAAGAACAAGGTGTAGAAGCCACCTCCAGCCACACGTTTATGGCTAGACTCGACGAGAATTAGAACATCAGAATAGTTCAATTGTTACACAGCGGGAACAACGAGGCTAGGAGGCGGGGACACGAGCTAGACCTTACTTCCCTCCCCCGTAGTCACTGATAGGTAAGTACCACCACCACCACCACCAACCATCACCACTATTGTACCACCACCACCACCACCACTATTGTACCACCACCACCATCACCACTATTGTACCACCATCACCACTATTGTACCACCACCACCATCACCACTATTGTACCACCACAACCATCACCACCCAACCATCACCACTATTGTACCACCACAACCATCACCACCACCACCAACCATCACCACTATTGTACCACCACAACCACCACCACCCAACCATCACCACTATTGTACCACCACCACCACCAACCATCACCACTATTGTACCACCACCACCATCACCACCACCATCAAGCAAACCATTGCCACCACAACCACCACATCCCGTACTACCTACACAGTACCTGTCAACCACTCCAAACACAAACTCAATCACCACAAAACTACCCTCCCCCCACCCACCCACACAAACCCCCCCCCTCCCCCACACCATCCCCCACAACACCCCCCTCCCCCACACCACCCCCCAACACCCCCCCTCCCCCACACCACAACACCCCCCCTCCCCCACACCACCCTACAACACCCCCCTCCCCCACACCACCCCACAACACCAACCCCCCCACCCCAACACCCCCCCTCCCCCCACACCGCCTCCCCCCACAGAACACCCCCCTCCCCCTCAGAACATCCCCACACCCCCACAGAACATCCCCACCCCCCACAGAACATCCCCTCACCCACAGAACACCCCCACTCACCCACAGAACACCCCCCCTCCCCCACAGAACACCCCCCCTCCCCCCACACGAACAAACCCCCTCCCCCCAGAACACCCCCCCTCCCCCACAGAACACTCCCCCTCTCCCACAGAACACCCCCCCTCTCCCACAGAACACCCCACTCCCCACAGAACACCCCTCCCCCTCCCCCCACAGAACACCCCTCCCACTCCCCCACAGAACACCCCCACTCCCCACAGAACACCCCTCCCCCTCTCCCACAGAAACACCCCTCCTCCCCCACAGAACACCCCCCCCCCCACAGAACAACACCCCCCCTCCCCCACAGAACACCCCTCCCCCTCCCCCACAGAACACCCCCTCCCCACAGAACCACCCCTCCCCCTCCCCCACAGAACACCCCTCCCCCTCCCCCACAGAACACGCCCTCCCCCTCCCCCACAGAACACCCCCCCCTCCCCCACAGAACACCCCCCCTCCCCCACAGAACACCCCCCCTCCCCCACAGAACACCCCTCCCCCTCCCCCACAGAACCACCCTCCCCCACAGAACACCCCTCCCCCTCCCCCACAGAACACCCCTCCCCCTCCCCCACAGAACACCCCCCCTCCCCCACAGAACAACCCCCCCCTCTCCCACAGAACACACCCCCTTCCCCTCACAGAACACCCCCTTCCCCCCACAGAACATCCCCCCTCACCCACAGAACACCCCCCACTGAACATCCCCCTCACCCACAGAACACCCCCTCCTCCCAGTACACCAGGCCACCAAAACCCATTCCGGCAACCACAGTTTGGATTGTTATCTCAAATCATATTTTTTTATTGTCACGATTCGAAATTTGTCACGTCATAACGGCATAGTGTGACGTGGCCGTTGTTGACACTCCAGCTGTAACGAGTGGTCGATTCGTGGTGACGTCACGGAAAACAAATACAATGATTGGTTACACCCCGTGTGAGCTGGTGCAATGACGTCACGGGGTTTAAATACGAGGAATGGTTATATCCCTTCTTACCTGGTGCAATGACGTCATGGGATGTAACCTAGCTGATTGGTTACGAGTCAACTGACGTCAAAAGATTCAAACACGATGATTGGTTACATCCTTTGTCAGCTGATGTACAGTGACGTCACAGGATATAAGCTCGCTGATAAGTTATATCTCAGGTCAGCTGATTATCAGTGACGTCACCGGATATATATATAAACACTAATCAGCTGATTAGATGTGTGACGTCACGGGATATAATGGTGCTGATTGGTCACATTCCCGTCCGGACCAGACCAGCTGGAGGCTATAACAAAATATATATATTGTTTAATCTTTCTGGCCCTTTTGTGGTCATAAGTTTAAACATATTGACATATTTACCCTCGGGTTGTTATTAAAAAAATAATCTACATCCTTAACCGGTTTTCCGAAATTGTTACTCTAGGCAGGAATGTAATTATCGGCCTACAAAACTCTAATAATAGGTCCAAAATTATAATTTGATATATGTATTTTTTTTTGGGGAGGGGGGGGGGGGAGTTATAAATTAAGACAGTTTGCATGACCAGTTTTCTGGTGGACAAACAGGTCGTTCTCTCAATGTGCCAGAAGGTAAACTATTCAGTGAATGACCCCCAAACAACCCTCGTAAACTATTGAGACCGATGCATAGAAAACGTCAATTTTACTGTGCTTTAACTAGTCTTAATGCGTCGCATTTTTTAACGGATTGGGCGGCCACGTAAAAAAAATAAATTAGCTGCATTTGGTGCTAAGACGGAATGCGCACGCGTGCACGCACACTCGCACCAACATGCAAACATCGGCGGCGTATGCAAGGTTGGCAAACGTCAGAACAGCCTTCAGGAACCTGTGTAAAGAATCATTCAGAACGTTGTATACCACATATGTAAGACCAATCCTGGAGTATGCGGCCCCCAGCATGGAGCCCGTACCTTGTCAAGCACAAGACGAAGCTGGAAAAAGTTCAGAGGTATGCCACTACGCTAGTCCTGGAACTAAGAGGCATGGAACTGCTGGGAACGAGGAAAGGCTGAGGGAACTGCACCTCACGTCGCTGGAAGACAGACGAGCTCAGGGAGGCATGATCACCACATACAAAATTCTCAGGGAAATTCATAGGGTTATCTTGAGGTTATCTTGAGATGATTTCGGGGCTTAGCGTCCCTACGGCCCAGTCCTCGACCCGACCTCCTTTTTGTTATAACCCCCCTCCCCCAGGAAGCAGCCCGTAGCACTTGTTTAACTCCCAGGTACCTATTTACTGCTAAGTAACAGGGGCATCAGGGTGAGAAACATGTTGCCCATTTCTCTCCGCCTCCACCGGGGATCGAACCCGGAACCTCAGGACTACGAATCCGAAGCATTGTCCACCCAGCTGTCAGGCGCATAGGCCAGGATGGATTATTTAACACGGGTGGTACACGCACAAGGGGACACGGGTGGAAGCTGAGTACCCAAATGAGCCACAGAGACGTTAGAAAGAACTTTTTTAGTGTCAGTAGTTAGTAGATGGAATGCACTAGGAAGTGATGTGGTGGAGGCTGACTCCATACACACTTTGAAGTGTATATATGATAGAGCCTAGAAGGCTCAGGAACCTGTACACCAGTTGATTGACGGTTGAGAGGCGGGACCAAAGAGCCAGAGTTCAACCTCCGCAAGCACTAGGTGAGTACACGCTCACACACACACACACACACACACACACACACACACACACACACACACACGCACACACACACACACACACACACGCACACGCACACGCACACGCACACGCACACGCACACGCACACGCACACGCACACGCACACACACACACACACACACACGAACAGACAGCAATAAGCCACTACCTAACTTAATCCACTGGATCTGTACTCGGTGACAGACAGAGGGCTGGTGTGGAAGAGGGGGGGGGGGGTGGACGGGAAGACCTGGACCTAATCACAGGCGATTCGACATAACGACGAACTGCCACCACTGATTGGGTCGGCACTGTCCAATCCTCACACGTCTTGGTCCAGGAGATTAGGGTAACGTAGGGGAGAGGTGAAGGGGTTGGGGAGGAGAGCCAGAGTGAACATACCTTGATGTGCTTGCTGGGAAGAGCTTTGGCTCCTGGGCCCCGCCTCCCAACCGTTCTTACATTTTTCTATCGTGTTAACTTCACCGACTTCTTCATCTAAATGAGTGAGTGAGTGAGTGAGTGAGTGAATAAGCGAGTCCTTTCATCTTTCTCTCTCACTTCACCTTCTCCAGTCCCTCACTCATCTCCTCACCTTTATCTTACGTATAACAGTTTAAGTAAAATTCCAGAAGTACACTGGGATTCGAACCCCAGACTTGTTACTAAGACACCCTACCAACCTGCCCACTACGCAAAGGACCCACAACTTCCACAGATATTATTGACCCACACAAAAAGACTTCTGCAACTTTTTTTTTCACATTTAATCACTGGACGAAGTTTTTTTTTCCCCTTTCTTGACGCCACTGATGGTTAGGGCAATTAATTTTATTTCCATCTTATCTCTCTCTCCTTTTTCTCTCCCTCTTACACATCTACGCTTTCGTTACTCTTATTCTCTTGCACTTTCTCTCTCGCTTCTAAATCCGCGTTTCTCGTTTTCTGTGTGGAATCTCCCTCGGACCTCCCTCACACCACCTCTCTCCTTCACTATATGTCCCCTCCCTCACTCTCCCTCACCCTCACTGTCCCTCACCCTCCCTCACCCTCCCTCACCCTCCCTCACCCTCCCTCCGGGGCTCCAGAAGGACCTTACACAGACTGCCAAATTGGCATGGACACCACCATCGTGTCCTCTCCGGCTGATTAAAAGCGACATCACATCTAACAATAGATGGAATTCCGGCAACGCCTTCTTGAGTTCTTGGCCTCGCTGGGAGAGGCACGAGGGAAAGATGGGAAAGCAGGGGAGAGGGAGGGGACTGGAAGAACAAGGGAGAGGAGGCTTGAAGAGGGAAAAGGAAGGAGGGGAGGAAGATGGTAAGGAAGGGAAGAAATCTATAAAGTATAACGGGACAAAGAACTAAAAGTGGGATAGATTATGAAAAGGGAGAGGGGGAGGTGGGAGAGGCAGAGGGAATATGTGGGATAGGATGGGAAGGAAGGACAAAGCATAGAAGAGAGAGGGGACTGGAGGTAAGGGATGGCTGGAGCCTGAACGTGACACAGAGGATGAATGTGGAAAAATGTGAAGGAGAGAGAGAGAGAGAGAGAGAGAGAGAGAGAGAGAGAGAGAGAGAGAGAGAGAGAGAGAGAGAGAGAGAGAGAGAGAGAGAGAGAGAGAGAGAGAGACAGAGAGACAGAGAGACAGACAGAGAGACAGAGACACAGACACACAGAGACAGAGAGACAGAGACAGAGACACAGAGACAGAGAGACAGAGAGAGAGAGAGAGAGAGAGAGAGAGAGACACAGAGACACAGACAGAGACAGACAGACAGAGAGACTCGGTGTCGTGTTGACAGTGGATCAGGAAAGTATTAATGCAGAAATGTGTAGTGAACTGCAAGTGTTGTGATGATGCTGGTCTGTGTGTGTCATGGGACAGGTGGGGGGGGGGGAGGGGACAGGTGGGGGGGGGAGGGGGACAGGTGGGGGGGGAGGGGACAGGTGGGGGGGGGTGAGGGGACTGGTGGGGGGGTGAGGGGACTGGTGGGTGGGGTGAGGGGACTGGTGGGTGGGGGTGAGGGGACTGGTAGGGGTGGGGTGACGGGACTGGTGGGGGGGTGAGGGGACTGGTGGGTGGGGTGAGGGGACTGGTGGGTGGGGTGAGGGGACTGGTGGGTGGGGTGAGGGGACTGGTGGGGGGGTGAGGGGACTGGTGGGTGGGGTGAGGGGACTGGGTGGGGGGGTGTGAGGGGACTGGTGGTAAAGATAGAAAGGGGAAAGGTGGATAAATATGGAATGACCAGAAGGAAGATTGTCACGCAGCAAGACAGCATACACGGGGGGTCACAGCAAGACAGCATACACGGGGGTCCCAGCAAGACAGCATACACGGGTCCCAGCAAGACAGCATACACGGGGGTCCCAGCAAGACAGCATACACCAGCATACACGGGTCCCACCAAGACAGCATACACCGGGGTCCCAGCAAGACAGCATACACCGGGGTCCCAGCAAGACAGCATACACGGGTCCCAGCAAGACAGCTTACACCGGGGTCCCAGCAAGACAGCTTACACCGGGGTCCCAGCAAGACAGCTTACACCGGGGTCCCAGCAAGACAGCATACACGGGGGGGTCCCAGCAAGACGGCATACACGGGGGGGTCCCAGCAAGACGGCATACACGGGGGGGGTCCCAGCAAGACAGCATACACGGGGGGTCCCAGCAAGACAGCATACACGGGGGGTCCCAGCAAGACAGCATACACGGGTTCCAGCAAGACAGCATACACGGGTCCCAGCAAGACAGCATACACGGGTCCCACCAAGACAGCATACACCGGGGTCCCAGCAAGACAGCATACACCGGGGTCCCGCAAGACAGCATACACGGGTCCCAGCAAGACAGCTTACACGGGGTCCCAGCAAGACAGCTTACACAGCAAGACAGCATACACGGGGGGTCACAGCAAGACAGCATACACGGGGGTCCCAGCAAGACAGCATACACGGGTCCCAGCAAGACAGCATACACGGGGGTCCCAGCAAGACAGCATACACGGGGGGTCCCAGCAAGACAGCATACACGGGTTCCAGCAAGACAGCATACACGGGTCCCAGCAAGACAGCATACACGGGTCCCACCAAGACAGCATACACCGGGGTCCCAGCAAGACAGCATACACCGGGGTCCCAGCAAGACAGCATACACGGGTCCCAGCAAGACAGCTTACACCGGGGTCCCAGCAAGACAGCTTACACCGGGGTCCCAGCAAGACAGCTTACACCGGGGTCCCAGCAAGACAGCATACACGGGGGGGTCCCAGCAAGACGGCATACACGGGGGGGTCCCAGCAAGACGGCATACACGGGGGGGGTCCCAGCAAGACAGCATACACGGGGGGTCCCAGCAAGACAGCATACACGGGGGGTCCCAGCAAGACAGCATACACGGGTTCCAGCAAGACAGCATACACGGGTCCCAGCAAGACAGCATACACGGGTCCCACCAAGA